GCATGATTTGCATTTAAGCATGGCATTGAAGGCATCCTTCTGAATCAACTATCCAGCACATTCAGGAAACATGCCTGTCAGTAGACATGGGATGCGTATACATCAAATATCTTTCGTTTTAAGGTTTTCTAAAATTGTGAGATCCCCAGACTTTCATTAGTCTTAGAGAAAGTAAGTTCTCTTTTCCACTTAAATTTCCACAATTCAGTCACATATTTGGCAAATAGTTTTCTGTGTACCTATTATGTATCAGCCACTGTCCTAGATGCTAGAGATAGCAGTGAATAAAAGAGGCAGAAATCCTTGCTTTCACATAGCTCATATTTTAGTAGGTGAAGATAAATAGTAAGTAAAAATAAATATAGTATTTTAAGATGGGAAAAAAATAAAGAATGGTGAGAGGACAGGTGTGCAAAGATGGGAAGGGCAATTTTAAATATCATGGTCAGGGAAAAACTTCCTTGAAAGGTAGGATTTGAGAAGAGATTCGAGGGCTCCAAGTGTTAACAGTCCCTGGGAAAAAAGGGCTTTGCAGGCAAGGCAAGGGTGCCTGGGAAATGCAAAGGCCCTGGGGTAGGGGTTTGTTTGTCTATTTGAGAACAGTGAGGAGGCCAGCTGGCTGAGGGGAATGAGCAAGGGGGAAAAAGCAGGAGATGCAGCTCGAGGTGGATCAGGGTACCAGGTGATCTAGGGCAAGGCCCCTGGCTTGCACTCTGAGTGAAACGGCAAGCCCTTGAGGGGTTTTGAGCAGAGAAGTGACACAATTTGACTTCTGTCCATACTGAGAACAGGCTGAAGGGGAGCAAGGTTGAGACAGGAAGACCCCATAAAAGGCTATCACAATCGTCCAGGGCAGACGTTAGTGGCTTGATCCAGGGCAGGTGGCACAGGGTAGACTTTCACAGCTTTCAAACACAATTATTAAACACATCCTCCTTCTTCGTCTAGCTATGGTTTCATATTTGCATTACTTCACTTCTAAGGAAATATTTTTTTCTTCAAAGCCTTCCCTTCCCATTCCCTCACTCTCAATAATAATGCTTCTCCTCACATCATTTTAGAAAGGGTCAAAACATGCCAAATTTGGATGTAGTTAAATCAGCAAGTAAACTATTCTCCAAAACTGCAAATGACTTGACACAGTTCTACTGAAGTTCTCTGTATACAAACCCGCCCTCTCTTCAAGAGGCCTCTTGCATCACAGTCTGGGGGAAAGCCAGGTGGAAGCCTCTCTGTAGAGTGGGGGGCGGGGCGTGAGGAGGGAGGGGACTGGTGTAGACATGTCAGGAGGCCAAGAGCTTCCATTTCAGCAATGTTGCTTGCATTCTAAGTCCCAATACTCCACAAAAACATTTTTGAAGAAAATTGTGAACCCCTACTCATATACTTATATGTCCATATTAATCAAAGAAATGCTCACTGACTTTTAATTCCTATTTGTGTGGAATTTAGTACTGTACTTTAACATTTTTATTTTTTTAGCTTTAGCGAGGGCCAGTATAATCAGACACCATATACCAGGCAAACCTAAGCCCTAAGGCCCTGATTACCAAGAAACAATGGACAATCCCCTCACCAAATAGAAAGGAAGTGGCTGCATGCAAGTACAATTCCGTATTTCCTATGAAGGTGGTGGCAAGGGCTACTACCCAAAGGGAAGATTCTGGAAATGGCCCTTGTGGGAAAAGGAGGAAAATACATCAGTGTTTTCAACTAACCAAGAAAAAATATCCTTGGCAACTTCAAAACCCACAGAGAAGGAGGAATGTGTAATTGGAGAGTTCTTGGATTACCATGTCATCTTCTTTAGGTAGGTGGGAGCACTCTCACTTTTGATCTGGGTCTCATTTTTTGTGGAATAATTAAGAATGAGAACTTAGATATTCTATGAATGAAGTGGTATATGATTATTAATGAATTATTATTACTTTAAGTGAATTATTCCTTTTTCTTCATTTGGGTGACTTACTAGAAACAAACTACACCTTGACATTTAGAAAAAAAAATTTTTTTCCCCAGATCTTGGGGTTCTAAACTGCTGCTCTAGTTAGTTCCTCCAAGTATCTCTGTTGCTCCTTCATCTTCTTCTGATGTCTGTCATCTCTCTGAGGCCTTCTTTGGCTGGCAACCCACGCCCTTTTGGACATAGGGCAACTCTGTATCTCTCTTTTCTGCTTTATCTTTCTTCTTAACACTTAACCACTATCTAACATATGACATTTTATTGATTTCTCTTATTTATTGTCTCATGTACCAGAATATAAGATTCATGGCAGGGATTTTATCTGTTTTGTTCATGTTCTATCCCTTGTGCCTAGAATAATGTCTATCACAGAGCATTATAAAATTTTTTCAATGACTAAATGAATTCCACAAAGGAATCCAGTAAGAGTTTTAACTTGAAAAGCTATATTTAAAAGATCAGTTTTGGTCAGTACATGTACAGGGAGTATTTCTGGAAAGACACACAAAAGACTGATACCAGCATTTACCTTGGAGGGAAAAGGATTTGGGGGGGGGAGATATTTACATATTATTTTATACTTATGTACTATTTGACCTTTAAAATCATTAGACATTTTTTAAATCATAACTCATAGATGTCTGAGTGCTATAAATTATGGGCCCTTTTAATTCTTTTTATAATCTTCAATAGTAAAAAAAAGCAATAAATATTAATTTAAAAGTAATCACATATTTTTAAAAATCTACACATATACATATATTGTATTCAGTGAGACATACAAAGTTAATATAAAAAGATACATCTAATAACTATTCTACTTTTTGAGTGTTAAAAAATTATATATAACAGGATTAATGGAACCAGCTTGGGTAGTATATTGGTACCAAGACAACTGCAGCAAATGAGCACTTCTCACTAATCAGGACATTCTCAAAGCTAGAGAAGGAACCAGGTAAGAGAGTATTCTTGCAACCTTACTCATACTAATTACATGGTAGCAAATATTTCAACTGGGGCCAAGGCTTAAAAAGCATTCCAGTTTTCATTGGAATTTCAAGGTATTATACAATATAGTATTCATAATGATATTTCCTCAGAAAAATGGGAAGAAATCATAAAAATCAGAGTACTGTCAGGAAAGTCAAAGAGAAGTAGGTTGACAAAATAGTAGAATTAAACTATGAGTATAGTTATTTGAAGAGTAAAAAAATTCAGAACCAAAAGAAGGAGACATGGCAAGTGAAGGTAACTCAGAAGCAGAAATTAAAAATTATTCTCAATGTAAGTCAAGTAAACATGAGATCTAGGCCATAAATGTTATAAAGGAAAAGTTATAGATTTGATCATTTATTTTCTATGTTAACTATCAAGTTTGGGAAAAGTGTCCTAGATTCCTATTCATAATCCACAGGGGCCTGTGGTCATAATGCACAAGAAATTTCTCAAAAGAAACCAAGGGCAGGGAAAGCAGTATTAAGGACAGGGACTTGTTTTGAAGGAGAGGAAATGAGAGAAGCACGAAACTCATGCATCAGGTTGCTTTGATTCCTTACTTTTCTTAACAGCGCTCCGTTATGTGGGCATCTTTTCTCCCTTCTCTCTCACTCTCTTGCTTATTCCACTTTACAATCAAACAGTCTTTGATTTTATTTTTACTCTACCTAACACCAGCTGTTGCCAGAGCCTTCTTATTAAAAGGCTTAGTCCAAACAGTCTGATCATTAAAGCAAACATCCAGTACATTGGAGCCAAGACAGCATTTTGGAAAGGACACTGGTCCGAATGCCTGGGTGGGAATTCAGCTCTGCATGTTCCTGGCTGGGTAGCTTAGGGCACACTGCTCAGTCTTGCTAAATCTCACTTATCTCATCTTTAAAATATGGCTGATAAGATCTGCTCTCTCTGCAGAGGATGGTTAAGAGGATCAAACTAGACAGTGCAAACTGTAAAGCACTATATACAAACATAAGTTATTTTTCTGGTGACTTTCATGCTATTTTGTTATTGTCTGTGGAAAATCTGAACAAAAATGGAAAAATTGCCCTGTGAAAATGCCAGAGTGTCTTTTAATACACTTACTTCATGTCCAGCTGTTAAAAAAAAGTCACGACAATGAATATTTTCTGGGGTATTTCTAAAGATGCAAAACTTTGGTTTCAAGATATTAGCTTGGTTGCATTAGGTATAATCACACTATGTTTCATTTCATGAGGTTCAAAAAACTGAGAGATATTGAATATAATCTTACATATGGCCTGAAGATGTTTTAAGAGCTAAAGCTAACAAATCCAATTATCATTATTTTTTTAAGTGCCCCTAATCCAGCTTTTCTTGTCCTCTTGACCATTGAACTCTCTGGAATACAGGAGAATTAATACAGAAAACTTAGGAGAAACTTTCAAGTTAGTGCAGAGAGAATGAAAATACAACCTCTTTTTAATCAAAAAGGCACATGAGTAAAGTTTATGCTATACTTTGCACAGAAAAAGTACTATAACATCCTTAAAAACATCGTGAATACAGAAAATAAGGGAGAAAATGGCTTTAACATAAAAATGGTCCATGAGACTATTAGGAGCAAATACCTACACAAAGAATGACAAAATACACTAAAATTACATGTTAACAGACCCTGTTCACATACCCTGATAGCAAATACAAACCTACTAGCACTTAATTTTTCTTTAAGATGTGTTCACATTTTGCTGCTAAAAATATTCGAACCAAATCTGACTGTCATTGCTCTGCCAAAGCCCCTTTTAAGTGTTAAACAAACTATGTGAAAGATACTGATTTTTGGAACAAACTCCACCTTCCAGAATGACATACTAAATCAAATCAAATCAATGAACAGAGAACATACAACCTCAGACAAGCCTTTATGGGTGGAATACAATTCTAATTTTGGCTTCAGTTTTAAACAAATCATTAAAATGATACCTGAGAGGAGGAACAAAAATCAATCCCATCGGTCCCAGTAGCCGGGACTGTCAAACATCACTTTCCTCCGCACATAAACAAGCACAGATACTACCTTACAGATGAAGTTGTCTTACTGCTCTCCATTTCCTTCCAGTAGCAAAAGGAAAATCTTAAACAAAGTGCCCATCCCAGCACATTTCTGCAGATAAAAGCCCTGGCAAGTGAACCCTGCTGTGTCTGGCCCATGTGCAGTAAAATGTTAAAGTCCTGCTCTCAGCAGCCAATCCGAAGCTGCTCAGACCTCCCAGGCCTCCCTGGGTGATCAGCCTGGCTTTGTGGCAATACAATGGGAGTTAAACATTTCCTCTATTTAGAAGCAAGAAAAATCTGTTTAGTTGCTCAAAATTATTTAACAAAACACACAACGGGTTTTGATAATAATACTGTTTTAAGAAAGTATCTGCCATATTTTCATCTATGAGGGGGAAGATATAAGGGTGTTACATAGTTTCTTCTTTCTTTTTAAATCTAGTAATAACTCGAAATAACATTTTAGAATGCTTATCTGGTTGTTTAATTATTCTTTCTTTATAGGCTTGAGACTGGCTTGTTTCTTTCAGCCTCAGAACCCCACAGCACATACATGTATAACCTGCCCTCCATATAACTCACAACAGTCCTTTCTGACTTTTTTCTTTCATGGTAACCTAGAAACTCTATTTGCTTCAATTAGTTTAATGTAAGATCTTAGTAAAAATAAATATGTTAATTCTTAGTTTCTTTTCAATTTTGTCCCTCTTTTAGGCTTCTCTAGTACCTATTGTCATTAGTATTTACCTATCCAAGTTGATTGTTATTATTCTTGTAAGCCAGATACTATTGGTACATGAGTACACAAATAAAAATAATAAAGTCAGCTGGTATTTTCACTAGCATGATAAATACATTAGTATTATATTTCATGCTAAGAAGACCTAAAGAAAGTGATGGAAAGAGTTCTAAAATGTATTATGTCCAGTAGGATCTCGTTGTTGGAGTTGCTACAAATCCTTAAACCACCTGTTTTTGCTCAAACTTATAATAATTACTTTTCAAGCTTTAAGGTTCTCCAGAAAAACTTTAAGAAAAGCAGATTTATAAGTTATTCACCAGCTATGATTCAAGTTTATAAAACGTCCATTTACTATATATCCAATTAGTTATTCACTTCCTAAGAACAAACCTGAAAAACTGTTCCGTATTTATTACAGTGACTGTTGTGTGAACAAGGGTTGGATATATTTCTTTGAAGCTCTTTTCAGTATTTCTTAAAGACCTGCTTAGAATAATGCCTTTCTTCACAAAAGCACAATCAACATGTAACATAATCTCCTTCAAAGCATATTGTCTGAGATCAACAAGGACCACGGCCACATGACCTCCGAAACCCAACCAAGTAGAGACATCAGAGAATCCCGATGGGGTCCTATCTCTGCACATCCATTTCTCTGCAGGATATGCCCCAACTGCCTTTGAATTATGCTAATAGAAACCTGAAACACAGAAATAATTTTCTGGTTTATTTTTTTACTCTTTTAAAAGATAAAACAAGTAGAGGGGAAAAGCCTTTAAACTTATTTCCTCTTGATTATATATCTACTGGCATGTGTATGTGTGCTTAGTGCTACCTGCTGATAGAAAACAGGAAATAATCAGCTGCCTAGTTGCTGATACAGCACACACTATTGATAACAGAAACCAGGCGAGAGAGTCATGATTTCTAGCTCTTTCCCCTTTCGGTATTTACCACTTGTTTATTTAAAGTGAATTTATATAATTTAAATAAGTATTTCTATTGGAAAGCAGAACTTGCCCATGTTTTTCTATTAATATGTTAACATAATCTTTTCTTTTCCTAGTTAGCTATTCCTACAGGTATGAAAAAGGTTCACACACAAATGTGAAAAAAGGTTGTATTTTAAAGAACAGTATAAAAATGGGCTTTGAACTGTGATTGTGCTCTGAACAGCAAGGGCTAAAAGGAGGAAAGACGAGTCTGATTGTGCGGCTTGACTGACCGAGCCTAATCAGAATTATCTCGGCACACTGCTTCACTACGGCCACAGACCCATTAAACACTCAACGCTCAACTCAGCCCCATTTCTCCCTCTGGCTCCCACTGTGCCTGTTACCTTGCAACAGTGGTCACTCAGTGGGCTACTCAAAACATTTTTTTTCATCTTATATAAACTTCTTTTTTCTTTTTATTTCAGCATATTATGGGGGTACAGATTTTAAGGTTTCAATAAATGCTCTTTCCTCCCCTCCCCCCACAAGTCTGAGTCTCCAGCATGACCATCCCCCAGATGGTGCACATCTCACTCATTATGTATGTATATACCCGCCCCCCGCCCCCCTCCCACCTGCCCAATACCCTATTACTGTAGTACCTATGTGTCCTCTTAGGTGCTGCTCAGTTAATACCAGTTTGCTGGTGAGTATATGTGATGCTTGTTTTCCCATTCTTGGGATACTTCACTTAGTAGTATGAGTTCCAGCTCTAACCAGGAAAATATAAGATGTGCTATATCACCATTGTTTCTTAGAGCTGAATAGTACTCCATGGTATACATATGCCACATTTATTTTGGTAAATATAAGTGCTGGATTTAACAGGCTCCTCAAAATCCATCATCAAGTCTGTCATTTTATGGCAAGAACAGCTACTGTCTTGAGGACTATAAGAGGACCACTGGGACTGCCATGCAGAAGGGGGGCCCTAATTATTTGTCTTGCAATATATTTTTATTAAGAAAAGTTGAAGTCATGACAGCTATTACTCCTTCCACAAAAGCAGCTCTGTTTTCAATAATTGAATTTTGGAGATCTCATTTTAAACTCATCAGGTTATTAATTCTTACCATCTTGCTTAACATATTCTGAAACAGGTAATTCCATTTGGGGGACCAGGGAAGGCAACTTATGGCACCAAAATGTACTTTGCTTTCTATTTCCCATATTCAATCTCTAGGAGTGTGTAAACCTATCCATTTCTGATGTGTATCTGATTTCCTACATGATATGACATGGTGCCCATTCTAATTTAAGTATATAAGAATAATAGATGTGATTTTTTATAGATAAACTTATTCATTTAAATCTAAACATATGTATCTATGTTTTAATTAAAATAGATACAATCAGAAATTTTTAGTTTTTAATAAAGTACTTTCTATACAAATTTTATAGTTTTAAATATCATAATATATATAGAATATTCACCCTTGGTGCTTCAGTTTACTTATCTATAAAATGAGGATAATAGAGTATGTTCTTCAGAAAGCTGTTATAAGGATTACATGAGTTAATATTCCTAAATCACTTAGAACAGTGCCTAGAACATAGTAGATGCTATGAGAGCATTTCTTTTAAACAAATAAAAATAAATCAGACACTATCTATGAATGAAAAGATGAGCAAATGATTCTTTTAGAAATTCTTTCAGAATGGAAGAGTTACACCCTGAACTATTAGTTTACCTTCATATTTTATTTTTGCAATTATTTGGCAGGCCTTTATATTTACCCAAGTTCACATTCACTGCTAGTTTTTTTCTGCAATGTATTTTAGGTTCTCCTAGTGTAGAAATGATGGATGCTCTTCTTTTGAATTTTTTTACAGGAAGAAAAAAGGGTGTCAATTAGCTGATTGAACATGTGATAAAGTTTTGCTAAAATATCCTATAAATTAGGTGGGAAAAATGAATTAACCAAGAGTTTCCTTCCTGAAACACTGTGCCATACAGAAAAGCTCACAAGCATCAAAGGGTGTATTTCTCAAAGCTGCAGATCTGCACAGTGGAGACAAGTTAAGTGCCTTGTCACTTGCTGGCAGTGCCACGGGAGTCGTCTGTTTCTGTAAATACTGTACAGAGACCCAGGAACCCCACAGATAATGTGATGGAACAGCCGACTGGCATCCTATTCCTTTTTACTAATTTACTGATAGGCAAAATTCCAAAATTCTAGAATGGTATTGTAAAGCTGAGTTAAGGAGAGAGACTGAAAAAAAGTGTTTTTGAGATGAATTGGTACATTTTTAAATATTTTCAGAGAACAGCAGAGATTGGGTTTCTTTTTGAATCTGGGCATCATCAAAACACTAAGACTGAAATTTGTTTCTTCATGAAGACTCAAAGACAGTCATCTCACATTCATTAGTTCTCAGCTCTTTCTTTCTCTTTTCTTCAATTACCTTCTCCCTATCACTCCTGCCTCACCTTGTTTAGAATGCATACAGATTTTACAAACCACTGCTTTTAAAAAAGAACTCTGGTATTGTTACAATTAAGAATAATTCTTTAAGAAAACTGTCCCTGCTGCTTAAAGCTCTGCCTCAAGGGGAGAGGGGAGACAAGGGCAATGTATATAACCTTAATGATTGTACCCCTATAGTATTCTGAAATTTTTAAAAAAAGTTTGCAATAACAACCTAATACAATGCACTAACCCTGGGACTATTCCACGTAGATTTTATTAATAGCTGGTTTAAAGTGTAGATTTCTGCCTTATGGTGGAATGTGGTCAATAAAAGTGCATTTATCTGGTAAAAAAAAAAAAAAGAAAAGAAAAGAAAATTGTCCCTGCAAATGAAAGTGGTCAAAACACTGGATGCCTTTAACAAGAATATTGAAATGAACCAGAATTTCTTGTGCACTATATCTTTGTAACACTTTATATAGAATTTCTTTGTGACTACTCATATATGTATCAAGACAAGGTGGACACAGGCTGCATCTATACAGTATGCATTTAATTTAAAGCATACGTCTAAATACACTGCATTTAAAGTCCTCTTAGTGAGAATTATCTTTACATGAACATTTATCAGACAATAATAGAATAGCAATGATGTAATCATAACTGAAATTTGGAATGATATAACAACAGGAGATAGAAATGAGAAGAGAAAAAAGGAGGTTGTAAGGAATAGAAAACATTAGGGATCAAACTATATAAAATTGCTATTTTATAGGTCAAAAAAGGTCAAGTATTAGCAATTTCATATGGTTCAACCTAACTATTAATACATCCCTGGGACTGCCCAGCTCCAGTAACGTTCAAATCATTTAACAGAAATACAGCCAGAGTTCCCAGAGCAAATAATTTCCATTTCTATCACTGCTTGTAAAACAAGATTAATTACCATTTTCTGGAAGTTTCAGTTGCTATAGCAACAACCTGCCAAACAGCCACACACTGCTGAAGTGCATTCAAGTGTTGAGGTAATTTTTTCTACTTCTTCCTCCCTCGATATTTAAGTGTACATACACACACACACGCACACACACACCCTTTTCTGAATCAGTCTCCTCTAAATATATCTCCAGATAAGAATAGTTCATTCTTGTAAGTTCATTTTTGAAAAAATTACTTTACTTTTGACATCTAAAACTATTTGAATGATGCAGAAGCAATTCATCCACAAAAATAAAATAGAAATAGATTGGATAATTCTACTTCAACTCACCAAAATTATGCTAGCTGGAAGAGATTTTTTAAATGAGATATTTTCTAATCTCAGATTTTCTAAAATCTATGACTCCAAATGGATTTTCCATGAGTCTTAAACTGTTCCAACTAAACAGGTCTATGATCCCAGCCCCAAACGCACCAGCCCTAATCCACTTCTATTTACTCTGTTTCCAGAAGCCACTCTTGGAATGTGCTCCTCACTCCTCTCCCTCTGTTTAAATCTCTGGCTGCCTTCAACACCAAGACCAAGTCCACTTGCCCCCATGACAATTTAGCTAAGGGATACAGACCTCAGGGAGCTGCCCCTCCGTCCTCAGACCCTATCATCTAGCACTTACTATCTTACATTTACTACCTTGTTTTGTAATTTAGCTTTTTAAAAATGTAATTCTCTCTTCCCAACTCAGAATAGTATGAATTATGTCTGTAACTCTAACACCAAGCCCTGCACTTTGCACACAGTAGGTGTCTATTAACTGTTAGACCAATCAGTGAGTGTCTGATAGGATACATGAGTATGCTTTCCTGCTTATGATTCTGCATATGAACTTGCATATGATTTTGAGAAAACATGTTCATTAAAGTCAAATAGAACCATCTTTACCTTCTCACAGATGGATGAGCATGAATAATTAGTTCTTGGCTATATGCCCTTCTCTCTGTGTTGTCACTACTAGCTCTTCCATTCTTCCTGCCTTCCCTTTAAGAGTCTTTCATTCATTCCATCATTTCCACTAATTCATCTGTCATTTTTCTATTTCCCCAGAACTGTCCTCTTCTTTAGTTATCTATCATGTTCCACTTCCTTTCAGCTCATTTCTGCACTATATTCATAAAGGGGCACAGTGGTTAACAGTCCTGGGTTCATATTCCATTTCTGTCCTTTACTAGTTTGTGACCTTAGACCTTTTTCCTCTTCAAAACTCATTTTATCCATTTGCAAATGGTCATAATAGTAGTAACCTACATCATACAGTCTCCAGGAAAAAAAAATTACAATAATGCAAAGCATTATCTCATTTATTATAGCAAATTCTTAATAATGTTAACTTCTAATCATCACCTTATAGTTCAATCTGCCTATTTTATAAATTCTTTAGTTTAAAATTTTATCACTTCTCCCCATCATTCTTATTTTACTACTATTTATCATATAAATTCTCTCTACCTTATCTTTCCTTTCTTTATTACTAATTGAAAAAGAAAATGGAAAACAAATGTAATTA